GAAATACTTGATTTCAAGTGTGCAAAATTTTCCTCTTGATTGCGTTTCCGTGGAAATTGTATTAAAAAAATATTATTTACGCTATTAATGTATTTGAATGCTGCACTCTGTTATCTTCAGGACAGTCAAATAAATGATATCTCCACGATTCCAAAACTCCTGTCAACTCTGTCTCTTTCAGAGCCATGAGCGCTCATTGGCATCTCGTACATGAAACACAGTCGCCAGAATAAGCCATGGATTGCGTCAACTCCAGCAGGCTATTAAAATGTTGTACATTCCCAGTTGAGTTGTCGGACTTGAGAGATGATCTTTGGAACAATGAGCCATAACTGAGCCTGCACATCTGAGACATGGTCAAGACTTTGTCTCACAAAGACTGATTACTTCTACACAGAGGGTCACTCACTCGGCGGAACGACTGTTGCTTAATTTCTGAACGATTCAATGAACGTGACGCATTATCCTAACATCGCTGAGGTCATGTAGTGAAGTTGCATGGAAATGTTGAAAAATAATAATGCTCTGGGTGAATTTCCCTTCACTGAAAGTATTTAAGTAATTTTTTCAGTCGGTAATATTTTTTGTACTTCTTGCTACCTTAGTTTTACTGGTAAGCCTTGACTTGGACACTGAAATAAGATTTAATTGTTTAATTCTTAGGTTCATTTTGTAACAACTTTTTCATGTCGTTATAAAATGTTAACAGACGCGTTTCCAAATTATTGGGAGCCTTCCTGCTTTCAGATTTTGTATAGTATTCGTAGGCATGATGATTTTCCTTTATATTCACTTTAACGTTTTATCTTCAGAGTATAAGTTCAGAAACAATATATCTGATTTAACGTCGTTAATGTCATGTCATTAATACCATAGAATGCTAGTTAAGTTTTGTGTGAGCGTCTATATCGGTACAGAAAAAAGCTAGTGTTTTGATGATATCAGGCTCACTAGTAACTTTAAAAATAAATCGAAGATAACACTAAATAATCAAATCTATTTTGTAATGACTAAGTACTGAGTGCTGAGTGTGCGTTTACCCTGATTTCTTTAGTAGTAAATGAAACGTTAACAAAAGAAAAAGTGTAGCCGACAGGGAGACCAAATAGCGCGTGTTCCAGGGCAGACATCAGCGGCATTGGGAGGGCAGAAGCTGCCTGTTGTTCGATGATATCGCGCGCTCATCGCCAGGTAAACTGCGCTCTCGTCCGGTGGATTGCAATCGGTGCCATAAAAAAACAACATCGATGCTCACGTTGAACTTAAGAAGGAGTGTCGTCACGCGATGTCGATTTACGGGACCGGCGCCTGACCAATATACGTATCGTATCTTATGGATTATGATTTTAGTACAAGCGTTACATATGTTACAGCAAGGCATTCTGTAATATTCTATGAAAAATAGCATTTACTCTCAGGAATTAAAAAAACACTTGAAAATATCCAGCTAATTTAATGTGTGAGCTCCCAATTTCCCAGACATATCAACGTATTCACTGAAAAATTAACATGTAACAGAAGTGGACCGATATAAACAATTCTGCCTTAAATCGCTTAAGTGTCGAGTTTGTCTTTAAGAAATCTTACTTATACGCGATTTCAAAACTTTTATTTAGATAGGATTCATTGTGAACTTACCATGCTTTAAAAAATTCTCACGATAAAACTTTCAGTTTCCATTATAAAAAATACAATTTCTCTATATTTTCTATGGAGACTGAATAAATAAATAAGGCAATGAAAAGACAAGACTGTGACCTCAGTTGAGATGTTTTTTACGTTCGAATTTCATAGGATATTTTTAGCATGGCGGTGAAAGTTTCGTTTACGTTCTTAAAGTCAGTGTTTGCAGTTTTATTAGCCATCGGCTATCAGACATTCCCTGTTCGTTGCTTTAATACAGCCGGTGATCTCTTAGTTTGTCATTTTGCCATCTAATTCAATTTTCTGAAGTTGTTCACCTACTGCAACGGGTTTCTAGGAACACGAAAACTTGAAACACTCAATTTAATATCAGATTAAAATGCTTGCATTTGAATGCATGATATTCACAACCTTAAGGAAAATCTTCTTGCACGAGTTGTTACTCATTTTATACCAGACCTTAATACAACATTTGCGAGTATAGTTGCATTCACAGTAAGGCTGTTGTCACCCGTCTTTTAGAAGACCGTAATATAACAAATGCGAGTATAGCTACATTCTAAATAAGGCTAATAGGTGTCGATGTTCGTTTTTTTTCATTAGTATGAAAGGTTTCAACTGATTTAGAAAATTATGCTCAGAAAATACTAGACAAAGCAAAGTAATGAGAAATTCCTGAACATCGGATTCGCTAGAGCTCTTAATATAAACCAAATTTTTGCTTTTGAATCATCTTCTCTTGTTATAGAGTGCTGCTTTACTAGGGCATTAAAACTACTAAAACCTGTTCTCGGTTTAGCAAGCAAGGTCTCTTTCTGATGTTGGAATGCACAGGATTTGCGTGCGTTGATGGACTGGATGGCCAAGTGTGTAGTTGTTATGTCCGCCTGAGATACAGATCATATCGCTGGTCTATAGAACGCTTGCTGAATTCCTTAAGCTCTTCCGTACATGTTAACATCTTCTTAAGCAACTCCCACCGCTCTGCGACTATGCGCTCGACTTACTGTCAGGAGCGTTAAAAAAACTCTCAGTCACTCAGAAATATAAGCGTTACAAGAAATACTTGATTTAGTATACGCAGGGACTAAGCCTAAGGCAATGTTCATTAAACGTATTATTACTATATATCAAATTATATTGGTATCAAATTGTTCTTTTTATTTCATTGGCACCTGAAAATTTTTAATTGATTTCCGAACAGCATATCTATCAATTCTATAAAGTAAAGTATAATAATTGACCAACTTCATGCATGAATATTTCCCATGTTAAAGTATATGCATTAAATAATATATTCAGAATGAAAAACGAGCTCGCGTTTCCTTAAATCAAGATCTTGATTGAATTTCGCTATTGGCGCATTGAATTTATCAGAGATAATTAGGCGACGAAAGAAGTTTCACAAATTTTTTAATTTACTGAACACTACAAACTGCGACAGGATTGAAGGACTTGATTAGTCTCACTCACGCGTTACATAGGCATTAACTAATAAAACTAAGATCATAAATGAAACTTATTTAATGTAATTTCAAAACGTAGCTTAAAACACCTGCAGAACTTCTTCAAACTCCGATAATCGAGAATGATCGTAATTTCTTCTAAATTTATTGAATCGCTTTCAACTTTTTTCTCGTTTATACTTTAATGGTGAAAAATTTGTCATTGAAACTTTCCTAGTAGTTGAAAATATTCACTGCGTTTCGATATATTTTGTCAAATATTCCCCAAAAGGAATCATGGAAATGTCTTAGCACTTCATTAATGATGCATGTAAGTCGGCGATGTGTACGCGCTAGCCATGTCTCGGAGGTTCATCGCTGATCGCAGATAACGAGGTGCCCTCAAAAAAACACCATGCCCATGTCGGTCGTGTTTGGTGCGTGTTTTGCGTGGCTTAAGAAATAATGGGGTGCCTGTAATGGAGCAGTAACAGCAACACTGTGTGTTTAGATCCTGTATAACCTCCCACGCTAACCACACATCCATGTCAACTCATCTCCAACTCACTCATGGCGTCGAGTTCTTATAAACACTGCATGAGTTTCAGTCGTTTTCAGCATGCTTTGTAAGCGCGATATTGAAGCATTTTCTACAAGTTCTGAGGCTTCGTTAGACCTGAACACCGATGGCTCATTCGCGTCCCAGAACATTGGAGCTTTGAGACGAGTACAAAGGTGTCATGATACCACGATAAAAAATACACAAGCGGTATTTCTCAAATGCCTGCCACGAAAAACTGTTGCATAGATTAAGTCTAGTGTGTTCACATTGTTTTGGTCTCAATGGACAGCATTATTTTGGCGAGAACACGACGCTCGGCCTTTGGCTCGCCGATGCCTCTAAAGAACTTTCTGGCGCTGTATTCACAAGGAGCGTGTCGAGGCAAGTTATTGTGAAGGAACGAGCTCGTAACGCCGATAATTTCCTCTGTTTTCTCACTTTATATACGATGAAGTTAAGATCTGCCCGTGATGGAAGGCTTTGACTGGTGAGACTTTTCGCTCCTCGAGAGACGTCAAACTCACGAATTCGTGTGAAACATACTACGAAATTCAGCGGGACATTCTTTTCTTCTCTATAGATTCAAAATAGTATGGCTCGAATTTCTAAGCCATTCTTTCTGGGTCTACGGCAGTTATCGGATCTATTATATTTTTTAATGCTGCAGCAATTTATGAAAAAGAAGATACACAGAGACAGTATCTGATAAATTGATTGCAATATGATGGGAGATGTGAATACGTTAATTTCAACGATATAATAGGAATAGAAAGCCGAAACAGTTTTACCCTTTACTTTCCGCAATTTTTCTTATATTTTGCAAGCATGCTTAACCGTAGTTTGGTTAAAGAAGTGTGTGTTTCCGTATCTACGCGAGAACTTGAACAAATAAAATAAAGAAGTCTCCATGCTGCAGAACTTATAGAACTATTATTGATTTATATTGATTATTTATTGAATTTATTTAATATTATTAATATTTAAAAATTTATCCAGGGGCATGGGGAAAATAACTTACGCGCTTACCATTTCATGCTCTGGAAGAACGCCTTGCGATGGAACGAAGCAGTAACAAAGTAACGACGGAACGAAGCAGCAACAGCGCGCGACGGGTATTCAATTATACGAGCAATACTGCCAAGAAGAACGTTCTTCAATAATAAAGTTTCAATTTTTTTTACCAACCAATTATTTTGCTTCTTGCCTTAACTGTCAGTAATTTTTTCGCTGGAAATTTTTTTCTTTTTATTTTAACTTACGTACAAAATTCATTTCATTCATCGCTATGAGATTCTACAGATGTTTGTCTTAGGGATTTTCTACACCCTGGATTTCATTCTATGTTCCAGATTATGAGGACAACCGCCTGAGCATGGACGAGGACAGAGAAGAAGCTGACCCTCGTAGAAGCAGCCAATCGCCGTCAAGCACGACAGACGACGCGGGTTCATCGCACTCTTCCCTCATAAAACCCAGAATTTGGTCGCTGGCAGACCTGGCTGTGTCACCAGCCAGTACCCAAGAATCCAATTCAAGTCTCGGTGGTAAAATAGCCTTCCACAGATCCCTGCACGCCGAGTCGTCTCCTTATGGCCGACCCTTTGGCACGCAAAGAATAGTGTCTCCGCATGAGGCTTTTTTACAAGTGTACGCTAAGTCTTTTGGCTTACCTTTTCCTTACCACCAAGCCCTTCAATCCTTACCTAACGCCCTGCAATCTCATCCGGTTGCGTTACCACCTCTAGGTTTAGGAGTATTCCCCACACCTATGCCGCACGTTTCACCAACACCATCCTCTTCCTCATCCACTGTAACACGTCCATTACCCACCCGAATTTTCGTGCCCAGCAGTGTTCATGCCAGAGACGAACATAATTTGTTCACTGGCGGCAGTCGAGAAACTGCAACATCTTCTACATCCTCAGCCTCACCCACTTCCTGGGCTAAGTGAAACATGACGTCATGAATAGCTACCATTTTTTTGGACATGTGCTGCTGCCAATATTATTGTTTCGTACTTGAGCAACCAGAAGTACTATCATTTATTTAGTACTGTACTGCTTTAAAGCTGGATTTCCAACAATTAGTTCATCAACGGTTGAGATAATTGATGTGTTATTATTTTATTCTACCTCCATTTCTCTGTACTTTTTGATCCAGAGAATCGTCCTCCTCTTACCTCGTGTGTATCCAACATAAGCAATGAAAATAATTTACTCATTTCATAAGTTTACGCTGAGTCATTCACTTTATTTGAAAAACGATGTAGGAATAAATTGAAATAAATTCTGTGCGTCCTTGATCTTTATGAAAGATTCAAGATTCATTTACCGTTTGTAAAGTAGGAGCTTCTGATTGGTGCTAGATGGTTTTATTGTTTATATTAACGCAATGTAAAACGCATGTTTGTAAAATGCAGAAAATTTATTTCTGGCCCAGAGACGCAGGCGATGAAATGAGACAGGCAATGAAATGCAATTAACGAGTCTGGCAGTATGAGGTGACAAATACGTTAAAAATTAGAAAACTATACAGTGTAGAATTTTATAAATAAAATGCAAGATTATTATTAACAGCAATTGAACTCCTGCTTTGTATTTTTTTCGGGAATTCGTTTGTTCTCAGCTCTTAGTGCGATGCAAGTGACTCCTCAGTGTAATATGTCTGGCATTGCATGCAGTGCATTTATGGACACTCTAGTTCGTGCATCAAAATTAATTGTTTTTTTCCTTACCACGCCATGATTGTTTTTAGGTTTATGGAAAAAAGTCGAATCATCTAATTTGATATTTTTTTAAATAGAAAGATGGAAATGACATATCTTGTACGTACGATTTTCACATGCGAATGACAAACTCAGGCGACCTACGAAAGTAACCATTTATGGATATTTTTTGTGTTCTATTTTTCTGTCTACATTGAAATTAATTCCTAAAGGAGAAAAATAATTTTTTAATTTGTTTTGATGTTATTCGTGGTCAAAATTAATTGAAATAATAATGCATTTTCGACATTCATATTCAGGCACGAACAAAATCATATTGCATAATTTGCTCTCATCGCATCATTTCAAGTAGAAATCTCAATATTTAGAAATTTTTGCATACCCAAAATCATGTACCACATGGTTGAAGAAATTAAATGTAGAACATTAAAAATTCGTCTTGAGTTTCAATTACATTTTTGTTTTATGCCTTTACGTCGTTCCAAATTTAACATATTTTACAATGTTATATGTAAGCTTGGACGTAATCATGATGTTGATGTTCATAACAATAGTATCTTTAAGAAACTAGAGGAATCATAGCATTCATATCAATAAATTTTTGTTAACATCATGGTTGTTTACATTTCCATTTTAACATCTTCACGAAGTGAAATCAATGCACGTATTAATTTTATTCCGCTGTGTAAAGCACAGCGCGATTATCAGACCACCGAGCCATAAAAGGCAAATCAAACCGCGGCCTGCATGACGCTCGCACCTACGAGCCCATGAGCAGCCCTTCATGGCTCTAGTAGCGTCAATAAAAACACTAGGCAGTATTTTCAAACACTTTTGTTTAGATTAATCTAAGTAAAATTTGCAACGAAATACTTAGAACCGAGAACAACTTGTACTTCTCTTATAAGCAACTCGGAGAGCTTGATGATTTAAACCAGCCAGCTGAGTTAGTGCAACATGTTACTTGCACATAATGGTTATATATTAAAAGTTGTAAGAGTTTGAATTAATGGGATTTAGTATTTGTTATATTTTACCGCAGAAGAAGCAATTACTGATAGATTTTTAACTACGTTGGACGAGACCCTAGAAATTTTTTTTTAGGATTGTGGAGGGCAGTAATATGAGATCAAACTTGAGTTCAAATTACATAGAGTTTTCCAAAAGAGAAAACGTCATTCCTATCTAAGGCGTTACATTCGCTCCCTGACGCTTAAAGTAGAACAAAGAAGTGTAATGTGAAGTTATCAGCGATTTATCAGCGTCAAGTCTCTAACCACAATTTTCCATCAGTTAGCACGTAATCATGCAGCATAGTTTTTATTTTACAGGTCCTTGCTCAAGTAGCCCAAGTGTGAAGACTTCTTTCTTGTGGCGCCTGCTCTAATTTTTCACTGTTGGACAAACGGAAAGACTGTGAGGCTCTTGGGGAGATAAACAAGCGATTTACTGGTGATTTCGGCGTGGAACTTGAGCCCATTTGGAGGCGATATGGCTCTTTGGTGGCAGCATGTAGATTAATTGAGTGATACCGCCGAGAATCGCAGCTTCCTGCAGTAGCCCTCGAGGGGATAACTCGAGAAAAACGAGCCTCTTGAAATTTCGTTCAGGGGATTGTGAGGCTTGAGTGTGAGAATAGAATCTTACTAACAGATCGAAGGTTTCATGACCATGGATTTGTCACCGAATTGTAGGATTGATATGGACTCGAATGTGAGCGTAGATCGATTAATGTGCGTACTGATCGATCGCTTATAGCAATGAGCGGCTGATGTGTTTGTTAATTATATATTATTGATTGTATCCTGATCAGCGGTTAACATTAATCCCTTTCTGCATTCTAGGAAAAAATAACGCTATGGATTATTTACAAACCCTTTTGCAGCTTGGAACTAGCTGAAACAATAGCGTATTTATTATCTATTAGAATACCATGCTGTTAATTGTGGGATTGTTTGAAGTCTTCACATACCATCATGGATACTATAGCCCAAATTAACTGCTCCTTTGAGCAAATGTGTCTCTAAGAAGCAGGCACATCTACGTGGCAAAAAAAAAAAAAAACGGCATGAGCACATACGTCATTTTTCAAAATGTTAATATGATTTTATTTACATTTCTGTACATTTATCAGACATATCACGGATATTTGAACGATGTTACCCATATTTTTTATTCAGTTTTAGTATACTGTACTTTCAAACGTGTGCATGAAGAAATATTGCAAACATAATTTGTTGCTCGCTACAAATAAATCTTCAGTGTCAACGTACTGATATGAATTCTCCATGCACCTTAGTGAACATTTACGAACGGGAATTATATGAAAAAACTCAATTCCAGCTTTTTCCTATTGATAGCCGGGTTCAATTTGAATGAAAAAATTCATATATCATCAAAATTTCAAACCGCTCCTATATTCTGGTTATTCGATGGCATTTTGTTCATTTAAAATTGACTCACTTGAAAATTAGTAAAAAAAATTCAAAGGAGTTTGCCATCCTAATATTTGCATATTATGCAATTTCGTGGAATGATTTTGCTCCGACAAGCAGAAACTCCATAATCCTGATTCTCTGAATTGTCAGAGAACTTCATTAGGATCAGCATAATCTCTGTGTAAGTAGAAATATAGTTCGACCCAGAGCTTATAAGTACAAGTTCATTCTTCTTCTCAAGCCTCGCGAAAATACAAGAACAAAGAAAAGAGATGGCAATCTCTAACCGAGCCCATTTCACTATAAAAAATTAATTTATATCTTTCCCATAATAAAATTCATGTGTATGGTTTTTCAGCTAGCATAACCATGGGTGAAAATTTCTAATGATTTAGGCTGAAATAAGGCAATGAAAATTCAATTTTCAACCTAATTCTAGGAAGAAAAAGCAGCAGCAGAAGGACATAGGTCCCACAAAGACCGCAGCTTCTGTTTCCGAACTTTAGGTTTGTCCCCATGTGAGCCGCCGCAAGTCCAGACTCCTAAACACTTGGAATTTTGAAAGACATGACCGGCGCTTGGGAAGTTTCGGTGTTCATCGCCGCTACCCAGACGACGACGCCCGAGAGCGCCATGCGAAACGAACTCTAACTTTGAATGCCGCGAGTGAGAATCGAATTAAAATATCCGGGTAGAAAATATTCGAATTTCAGCATATACAGCTCTCTTTGTTTTAGAGTAAATATTATTGATCAGTTGAGCTGTGTTCAGTTTGACCTATCGAATATGGTGCAAAAATTACATTTTCGCGACTTCGATTTTAAGATTAATGGAGTCTTATTGAGGAATTGAACTTCAATGTGATATTACCTCTCGACTCTTCATCCTTTTAAAAATAAAATTTCGTCGATTGATTTATCAAAAAACTGAATTTAATTTAAAAAAAGGGATTTTTGATGCCGCAGCGCAGTGAAGTTTCGTGAGCACTTCCCATCTTTTATTGTAGTATACCCGTGCTATCATATCTTACTTATGTAAAAACTCACTTAATACTTCATTCATTTATCAAACGAACTAATTAAACAGCTCAAAACAGCTATAACTTCATTTTATCAGTTTAATTCGACAAAGACGGAAAAAAATGACAAGACGTCACGAGAAGATTTCCTACAAATCTGCAAAATTTGTCATAAACGAGCTAGCATTTTTGCATCGTTCAATTTGAAAGCAGCCGAAATCACCAACACCACGCACTTGCTAAGACAGAACACTGAAACGTTCACGATGAACACAGGTTGTTATTGCAGGTTCTCTCGCCAGAGACCTTGCATGGTACAAGTGATTTGGGTCTGAAGCTCAAAGAAAACAGAGACTCGTGTACGTGTGACTATAAGTCTGTCATCGAGGCAGTGCGAGGAATGTCATTACTGAAGCAACATCGGTGAGAATACACTAACACGTGTAGCGAGTCTGGCGACCAGCAGCTACTGTCTTCGGGTTCTTCTCTCTTTAAAATATTAGGTTTGTTGTGCGCTTAACTAACACTAAACATCGCTGTATGTCGCTGCTCAGCCAGCGTCACTGGCATGGAATGCGGCACACATAAAATTCAAATAAATTGTCTGGTACAAGTTTATTAATTAAGCACAATGCAATAATGGCAGATATTCTGCTATCGCTACGCAAAGAAATCTTCGCAATGATTTCTTCTATCGCTGTCTGGAGAAAGGGGAACCGATGCAAATTTCCTGGGAGGAAAATAAAGTTTGATGAAATATTTTTCACTTTTCATCGGCCTAGTTTATTTATGTGATAACAATGAACCTCACCTAGTCTTACTGTTTCATCCATACTTAATTAAACGAAACTCATTAACAAATTACCCTCAAGGAATTAACAGCGCGTTTTACTGGGAACGAAAAAATTTAATCGATGTTGACAAATTAATTAAATTGCCAGACAAATTTAAGAGCTAATAACTATAATATAACATTAATATAATAATAAGTCTTCAGTAACTCTCATGAACTCGCGTAGTTTGACCTTGTGTGAGCGACTAGCGTAACAGCGTGTCCGAGTGCTGTGGTAGGAACTTAAGTAAAGTCGTCTCACTCAGCAAGCAATAATATTGTGGGGCGGGAAAGGTTATTGTTTACACCGCTGTTTGTAGAGTAAGTATAATTTGAAGAAACTTTATGGGGTGTGAACAGCTTAGATGAGCCCAATACAGGGGGGCACTTCACCTGAGCGAGGCACGGTGCCCTTCAAAATGCCTTGAAATAGAATTCAACGAGAGCTTCAATTGTTTAAGATATGAAATGTATATTTAATTAATGCTAGGACGGGTTCCAAGTATTTCAATAAATTAAAATTTCATTAAAAGTTGACTCTATGTAATT